TTAGCGTCGAATACTTAGTGTCGATTTTGCATCGAATTAGCGTCGATTTTGCACCCAGGTAGGAAAACTCATTTTTAATGTGTCTCCTACCTACCAATTTGAGGCAAATTCGATGCTATATTCGACGCTACGTGATCGACGCTAAATCGATGCAACATTAGCATCGATTTAGCGTCGAATTCAGGAATTCCGACGCTAATTCGATGCTAATTTGCGTCGATTTAGCATCGAATTTATTCGATCCTACTTAGCGTCGAATATGTAGACTGACACAACTTCGACGCAATTTCGACGCTATATTAGCATCGAAAAAATTCCGACGCTAAATTACAGTTTTCTTGTAGTGGTTCTTGAAGGATATAGAGACTCCTCTTAAACAGGCCACTAGTTTTGACGAGAATAATCCAAGGAGATTCTATCACCGAACTGTCTCATTGGATGATATTAAACTTATAAAAAATGCTATGAACATGGTGAGTTACATACAGTTTTTTCAATTATAAGAAAAAAAATCATGAAGTTATATACTCCCTAAAAATTGTGAGTTTCTCTTTTTTCCTTCATCTTTTGTGTGTGGCTAGACTATCAATGATGTTCTATTTGGAGTTAGACAAACCGCTCTTTCCCGCTATATGAACGGATGATATGGTAAAACCCTTCAAGCATGGGCTTGGGGCCTTAAAAATATCAGAACCGTTTCTGTATATAAAAAAAATTCTCTAGTTTGCGGTATTTTAAAAGTCAGGGTCGGCTCTATATATATATATATAATGTTTTGCATGTGTGTGCTTTTGGTTGACAAATAAGGCAACACAGATGTTGAAGGTTGAATATCAACATAAAATCTGAACACAATTCCAGGTAGAATACGATTTCAAGTAGGTGTTCCGGTAAATTTAAGGCAGGAGGCTGGAATCAAGGTTAGATACCCACTCCTTCAATTAAACCTTAACTAGATAAAACAATTGCATGATGAACCCCGTGGCAGATATGTTGGCTAACGGTTCGAAATGCTGATTGGGAAACTACCATGGATCAGTTCATTTTCATTGAAGGCTTCATCATGAATCAATCTGAATAACTATGTAAAAGCATCTTCTGAGCACATAACGCTTAGTCAGAGTTTAGGCAGACCGCTTAAACCGCTATTTAGAACACTACTAAAAATAGATTCAAAGTTTACAAAAAATCATAAAATGTTTAGAAAATCAAAATTTAAAATATATATGCAAATTAGACAAAAACATTCATTCAATTCATATCAAAATGACATATACACTTTGATAATCATTTATCTATGAAGTTAGAAATTAAAAAAACTATACTTAGAAATGTCAATTGATTAATGATTTTGTAGGACCGTTTAGGCCCCCTTAAAACAACCTAGAACCATGCTTGATAACAAAACCGCCTAAATAATGTCAATGCATATGAAGTAATCGCCAAGGTCTATAGAAGTTTAGCGCCTACGCCTCGCTTAAACGGACGTCTAGACTGTTTTTTAGATCATTTTATAGACATGTGTATAGGGATCATTGTTGTAATATAGGAAATATTGTGCGTGCAATCATAAAAAAAAGTAACAGTAGATTGATTGATGTTCTTTAGACAAAGAGAAGATACTTTGTTTACAATACAACATTCAAATGATTTCCCATTCCTTTCTTTTCCTCTCTCTGCAAGCAAGAACAATCATTAATCTAACTTTGGTTTCTCTGGCTTACAAAATTAAAAATTAATTGGTTTCTCTGGCTTACAAAATTAAAAATTATATAAATGTCATAGCTAATAGCCAACTAACTTTCTTTATATTACGAATTAAATCGTATTATATTTGTAAAAATTTAGATAGATTTATGATGCTAGTTTATGTAACAAGTTTTCAAGAGATTTGCAGAATGGTTTATTGATAATTAAAAAAACAGTAATATCACTGGCTATGGTTTAGGTCTTTTGTTTGCAAAATCAGCTAAGCATGGGAGAGAAATGAAACCATAACTGAAAATAGATTAGAAGACATTGTCTCAGAAAGTTGGTCTTATTTATAAATATACAGAGAAGCAATAAATAAGAAAACAGAAGAAAGTTTCCTGTTTTGGCACACACACAATGGACAAACACAAATTGGTGAGATCAAACAGAATCAGATGAGAAAGTTATCAGAGCGACGTGGAGGCACGGACACGAACGCGATCAGCATGATCAGCATTGCAGAAGATAAAGCTCTGCTTACCAGTTGATGTGGAAATTGGCACAGTGGAGAATCCCGAATACACTCCGGCGCACTTCTTTTGGCAGATTTCAGCCATGAGCTTGAACATCTCTTTCTTCTGGTTAAACGGTTGGTCTACATATTCTTGGACCGGCATCCACTGTAATACAATATACCAGCTCAGGTTAAATTGGAAATAGCGTTAAGCAGTGACAAGTTCTTGGCTCATCAATAGTGAAAACTAGAAAGGTTTATAATACCTTAGCATTCAAGATCTCAGATTTTTGTTCAGTGATTTCGTAGGAGCGGGGGCTTAACACACACAGGAAAAATATATCCGATTTCTTTTTCAAGAATGCTTGGTGGCTTTGCCTGTGGTTGAGTGGATCAATCAGGAACTGATGTGGAAAAAGCTAAATCAAATGTGTATAAGGCATTGTAACATAATTTTACCTGATAGCCAACACTTCGACGAAATCTGCAATAACCTGAAGTAATAAGACAGTAAAAAGACAGAGGTTTTAGATTATAATGGCAAGTAAAAGATCCTTAAAGTCGATATTGATTTTTCTGAAAGTCAGATACATACACCAGTTTCTTCTTTCACTTCCCGAACTACTCCTGCGCCAATATCCTCACCCTGTGGATTTGAAAATTTTAGTTAGGAGCATAACAAAATTCAGAACACCATTTTCACCATTCTCGTATTCATTTCACACTCGATATCATCATTCAACATTCCAGGGACCAATGTTTGACACTATATCTTTGTACTACATCAATAACGCATACCAAGATGACTAGCTAACCCGTGTAAGAAAACTTCATCTAAGTTACTGTAGACACTTTATGGTTCTGTTAAGAACAGAAGCTGTAAAAACTGCCTTTCCAATTTAAAACACCAACAAGATAAACTTGATTATAAGTGACACTCAACTCTCACCCCAAAAAACTGAGTGTTTATAAGCCAAGACCTCGCTAACTGCTCTCTAACCGACTTAAAACATTTCTAGTCTGCTACATTCACTCCTAGGCTAGATATAGTAGACCTATAGCTAAGAGTTGATCCGTTGAATATCTTCAAAGTTTATCAGGTTCTCTTTCGATGCTACGGTTGATCACAGTAAGAATCTAATGTAATTCACCTCGTTGATAACACCAGTAGGCAACTTCCACACATTCTTATCTTTGAAATAACCACTCTTTTCCTGGACAACGAGGACCTGCGCTCATTGAAGTGATTCATCTCGGTTCAGTCAAAGTAAATGTTTTCATAAACGAACAACACACGATCTAGACTATTAGCAACGAGTATAAGACAAGTTATGATTAGTCGGTTTGCTCTCTTCTTCAAGTCCCCTTGAGATTCAAAGAAGGGAATAAAATTGGTTACCTCTCCAGTCTTCTTGCAGAAGACCAAAGCACCAACACCTACAACATGAGAAGCATTGGCTGGGATTGTATCCGGGGTTTCGGAGATCCAACTTACAAGCATCAAGTATTCAGGCTCAGCATGATGGTATCTAAACCCTTCCTGAAGAAGAAGAAGAATCACCAACAAATTTTCCACTCACTCATCATATACATAACCTCTAACCAAAATCAAACACAAAATATATAAATCAATCTCTTACACTAACTGCAGGCTCCACAAGATTAGCATATTTAAGAGGCAGGTTTAACCAAATCCCTTTCTTCCCCTGCAAATCAAAAACTCTGACTAAGTCTCTTTCAAAACAAAAGCGAATCTCTCAAGGGTTGAATCTGAAGTCGATTGTTTTATATACCTCCTCTTTCCAAATCGAAAGCGAAGCTTTAAGCTTTTCTGTAAAAACCTGAGCATCCATGGCTTCGGAGATGGTAACAGTAACACCATCGTAATTGTCAGCTTCACCTTTGAGTAAATTATCCATCACACAATCACTTTCTCTCTATCAATCTGAAGATTTTCTTATCAAAAGGTGGAGACTTTCGGTGTCAGCTACACGGGAGATTGAAAAAATCAAGACTTGGTTACAAAACCCATATCGAGGATTCAGGATTCGAGAAAGCCAGAATCTTATACAGACCCAAACCATCAAAAGTAGAAGGAATAAGAGAGAATTAAGAGGGAAAGTATGTACCTTGGAGAGAATTGAAGTGTGTATCTATGAAAGGGTCAATCTTGAAGACTTTTTTTATACAGAGAGGCAGGAAATTTCATCGGAAAGTCTTTGTTATATGAATGGCTAGAGGCAGGAATGTTCTCTTTCAATCATATAATAATGCAAAAAGAAAAGAACAACGAATGCTTTGCTCGCTTCTTTGGATTATTAATATGACTCATCGAAGTTGAAATCTCCTCGAAGGAGATTTCAAAAGTAATGGAGCCTGTCACATTTGTTAAGTGCAAATGCGGATGTAGTTTCTTAAGTTTCGATAAATTGAATTGTATCCACGAGAAAAGTCATATTTTTTTTAATATTGCAGATATGGAAAAATAAGGTCGGTTTTATTAGCACATGTAGGTTGAGAAAATACTAAATGGCCCTGTTGACAAAAAGAAAGGAGAAGAAGAATTTTTTAAATATATGAATTTTTCTTGAGAAATTTAAAAAAATGCCAATTTTCAAAAATCACTTTTCAAAAATACCGTACTTTTAAAATTTTTGTCAAAATGCCACTTTTTTAAAAAAAAAAAAATTCATTATATCATTTATATTTCGGTTAGCTATGTTGTATTAGGGTTTAGTTTCGAGGATTTAAGAGGTTTTATAGGTCAAAACAGGTTTTAGGGTTTATAATTTAAAGATTTAGACTTTAAAAATCTATAATTAGTGATATTTTTGCAATTGTCCCAATTTTCTTAGATATATTACAAAAATATGAAATGATTGTCAAAAAAATTGAGAGTTGATCTCAAATCTAGATCTTGCTTGGAACATGAAACTCTTTAGATTAGACTCTTTCAAAAAGTATAGTCGTATAGAAAGGTTTTTGAGAGAAGGATTCTTACCAAACTTTTATTTTGGTTTGAAAGTGGGATTAAACCAATTAAACTTTTGTTATAGGACTTGGAATATCTGTTTTCATGTATTCAAATTAAAGAAACAAGGTAAGAATCGAAGAGACGAAAATTGAATGAACAAGATAAACAAAATCAGTTTAAAGAACTCATAACAATCGTTCTTTAGTGGTTTGAGGAAGAAAGCGAATATTTCCAACAAGAAGGAAGAGCTCAACAAATAAGTGAGAGCTGAGCGTTTGAGAGAATAGCCTATTTTAGAATGTTTGAGTTTAACGATCAATTTCAAACTCAGTCTGTGTTATGATCCGAAGTAGTTGTTTTGATCGGATTTATGAAAACTATGGTCTTAGGACTTTAGAAAATTCTAAGAATTTTTTTATGTCATGTGTTACATCCTCAATTCCAATTTTGAACCATACATGTTCTGGCCAAATCCATACCACAACAGGCACATACAACGATGTCTTCCGTTATATGATCTAACGTACAACCTGAACCATATACTACGATTTGATTTGAAAGTCAAACCAAAGTTGACAATTCTTTCTATTTTTGAAACGGGATATTACACTATAAACCTATACTTTGTAATGTCGAATGGAAAAGGATTCGAGGTCCAAGTAAGCCTAATAATACGTTCATAAATTCTGATGATAATCTCAAGAGATGATTTCGCTAAACTGCCTCCAATCTCGTAGCCCAAACAAATTCCTCAAACTATCAAGTTCATCACTAAACATGCCATAAACTAATGAATTTAGTCGGTAATCTATATAAAGTATATAATTCTAATTAACTAGATTTTAAACAAAATGGACATTTAAACATAATATAACCATTTCAATTTTAAAAAACTTTCCAAAGAAATCAATAGGATTATTTATATAAATATAAACTTATTTTTGCAATTGATATAGAACATAAATAGTTTTCATGATAATTTGATTTTTTTCAAAAAACCAATGAATAGTTAGGTGCCATATTATTATAAAAATCAGTTGAAAACCTAATAGAAAGAGAAACCGACATTGACAACCATCTCACAATCCTTTATATTAGAGAGAGTTTTGCTTATTGCAGTCACATGAGAACATCTCTCTAGAGACTTTGATGTTAATCATTGATCCAAACTGCAGTAAATGAGATAAAAAAAATATTCTACTTTAATCTTGTCCATATATTTTTATGGGCTTTAGTGAAATTCTCTTTAAACAATTTTTCACAATAATTTTTTGTCATATTCCAAGATGTAATAGTTCACCTTTGGCATCTAATTTATTTTCACATTCTCTTTGGTGACATATAAATATATAACATATTGGATTGTTGATTGATTTTTAATTCCTAACAAAACTATTTTTTCCTTTGCATCTTCATATATTATTTTTGCTGGTTGTTGCGAGGTTTTTGCATTGTATTGTGGTGCATATCAAATTTGTTTCTTTTTTTTTGTGCAACCCATTGTTTTTCATTAACTTAAATGTCAAATTTTACATTCGTTCATACCACAATACATGAAAACATTAAAACTTAAAACAGAAGAAACAAGATAATTATACGACAGCGAATCAGAAACAATTTTTTGATGCGCCGGTGTAAAGCTCACGGTTAAGCCGAAAAGCATAAATTTGGTCACATTGAGCTGTGACGTTGAAAGACTACCCATATCTCCAAGTTTCGTCAAAACGAATCTGATTGCATCCTTAGGCCCGGTAAAGACCGCTACTCAAGAATACAAAACGGCTAGGGAAATGCTTGGGTTTGGTTTCGAGAAGGTTCTTACTCTAAAAAGATAAGAAAAGGTGGACAAGTTCTCTCCCACCTGGAGAAATATACTGGATTTGAGAATCCATAAAACTTTGGTCTTCTCTTCGTGGAGAAGATATCGAGCTCAGTAAATACAAGATTTGAGAATCCAGAAAACTTTGATTTTCTCGCAGAGAAAATATCAGGATCAAAACACATCAATGATAAAGCCAGCCTTGTTAAAACCAAAAGTCGTAACAGTGTAATAAACATACGATGACCATGGTTTGGATTGAATGAAGGATGGGCCTGATGGGCCAAGAAACCAAAAAGTCGAAATGGGCCAAGTCCAATCTCTAGGGTTCTCGTGACGGAGGAGCTTCAGGAGTTTCGACAGTGGGAAGGGGAAGCATCTCCTTCGTTACGGCTAGTTGCAACGACCGCGTGAGATACAAATTCCAAGCAGCCACAGAAGGACAGAAATCAAACTCGATATTCCAGAGTCGAAATGGTTGTGATAAGACAAAGACATAAGCAACAACACATACGAGAACTTAATGGAATAAAAACTCTCTGGTATTTGCCACACAACTACAAGACTAACCAAGCCTTCATAAAAACACCATTCAAAGAGTTTTATGCTACTGAAAGTTTGTACCAGAGTGTGCTCCAGGCCTGACGATACTTGTGATACCTTAAACGACAAGATATGCCAACTCGAAGGACACGGCTGTTGATGGAACGAGGAGCCATAGGTAAGGAGTTGAGGGAATAGAGAAAGCCCCTGATGGAATAGAGCAACACCAGCTCCATAGAGGAGTAAGATTTGAGAAGTTTCAATATGCACGCGGCAATAGAAACTCAGCCTCCGGCCTTTTAATCGACAGCGATAGCAAGGCACCGTTGGCAAGAGATTTTGCCGACACTGGAGCAGCAGATGAGAGGCTTTGAGAGAGTGAAACGGAGCGACTCTGAGAGAGTGAAACGGAGGGCAATGAAGACGGTGGAACGAGCCAAAGAATCGACGGTGAAGACTGTTGACATAGCCAGAGAACAGAGCAACCATCATCGTAAAGCTTCAACTCCGAGTCTACAAAAACTCTCCCAACAGTCATGGTCCTTACGTTCTGCAGATGAAGAGGCAGGGACCAGATCTAACAGGAGGAAACCAGCGGCGAAGACCACGAGGAAGAAAACAAAAAAAAAAGATCTGAGATAAGCAAGCTTGAGTCACCGAGAACTGAGTAGCCGAGGACGAGCAGAAGACAGAGATGGTCCTTTTTCCAGCGGCGGTGAGAGACACTGCACGTCGGAAAAGGAGATCAGAGACGGCGACGACATTTTTGCAAAGATTTTGAAAAGGTAGAATTTTTGAAAAGTAGCACTTTAAAAGTGGCATTTCTCAAAATTTCTCCAGATAATAATACAAAAGTGTGTGTTTTAATTAAGTTATTAATTTTAGTTTTTATGTTTTTTTGTGATAACGTGGACACCCTAGATGGAGAGAGAACTCCCTAATTATATATAGGATTCGACACTACTAATAAAATTATCTTAACCGCGTTTCATTTGCCGAATTGCGTTTGAAGAATAGCTTAGATTAGAAAATTGTTGTAAAAAACAGGAAAATTATATATATAGTTAGAGAATTGTTTCTCCATCTAGAGTGTCCATATAGACAAAACTACTTCCTAAATCATTTAAATCTTTTAAAATGTTCATTAAGTACATACGAAATCATATCTATTATTTTCTATAACTAATAAGAAAATTAAATTAGGTTAAAAATGTG